ATGTAAAATCCAAATACAGCAAAGAGGGACTGATAGGGACGAAGGAAAGACAGCCTCAGAAGATGAAATGAGCAGGGGCTGTTTTATTTCTATTTAATCAATCTGGCTACCAGCTTTCAGGCATTTAGAGCAGTAGTTGATGAAGGAAAATACTRGCTGTTGGATCATAGGAAAATGTTCTTCATAAACCCTGGAATTTGTTTTGAAATCTTGTTCAAGGGTTTGCTCATCCAGTCATTGAGATATACTTTCAGGCTAAACAAAATCTGTCTTTCTATTTAAGAACAATTTGTGCTGCTCTGAACAGTATTCCCTTCTGCACCAGGCTGATCATGTAGTACTATAAGAATTCAGAGAGGTACTATAAGAATTCTAGCTTTTCTCTAGATTCCCCCTTAGTGTTGTTACAGAGGATGACCCAGGGCTCGACTGACCGCTCAGCCAGGCTTGGGGTGGCTCTGGGGGCTGACCCTTCCTGCCAGACACAGTCACTGCCATTCCAAAATGTTCCGAGCCATGCAACATCCAGTCTCTGGCAGCAGCAGCCTGCTGTGATGCCCTTGCAGTGCCTTTTCCAGGGTCAATGTCCCTGGAGCAGTCGGCTCCACAGCTCTCTGCAGCCTAAGCCTAAGGCACGGGGCAGCTTGTGGCCAGGGCTGAGGTGCTCACCCCTGTGGAGGGTCCAGATCAGAAATGTGTGGGAGCAGCAAGGATGGGGCCTCATTATCTTGGGGGGCAGTGAAAAATGATCACAATGTGCTAAGATACCTGTGTCCATAGTCGTGCAGCAGGATGATGGGATAAACACAGTGGTGTTTCTGCTGTGTCAGAGCCTCATTCAGGAGGCACAACTCAAAAAACATGTGCTCTACTGCCGTATCAAAAGTCTGGGTTTGAATTTCAAGTCCAGGCTTTGCTTTGCCCAGGTTGTAGAAAGAGCTGTGTCCTGCCATCTGTAGGAAATGTATCCAGAGGATGTAAGGATGAGAGAATTGACAGCCTGTAATAAGATCATGCTGTGTAAATAACGATAGGGCAGATCCATCTAGATTCAGTAAATGTGCTTTCATGGCAGCAGAGCAWCCCAAGCTGCATACCATGGACATTACCCTGTCAAGTGAAATGCCTCGTGCTGAATYGCTGGTACAGTACAGAAATTTATTTTTTAAACATATGTATTAAACAACCAAGAGTCTTAAATGAAATGTCACATTTAATTTGGCACCCAAGATGTGAAGCCTGCAGCTGCCCTCAGCCAACCCCAACAGCTCCACTCTCTGTGTCAGTTCCTCTGTGTGGCAGAAAGACCTGCAGCATCCTCCTGACTCCCTGGCATCCGTGCCTGCTCTCCTGTACCCRGCCATTTGTGGGGGTATAGATTCAACACGTGCCAACTGCTTCCCTGTGTGGTACAAGGTGCTCTGGCAAAGCCTCCAGCCTTCACCAGAGCCCTCGGTGCCAGCAGCCAGGAGTGTCAGGGTGGCTGCAGCCCCGGCTCCTCTCCAGGAGCGCCGCAGTCGGGGATGTTCAGCAAAGCGTGCAGAGACAGGCAGAGCATCTGCTTCCTCCCTCCTGGGCTCTGGAGTTGGCGTTTTCCTGAGCTGGAGGCTTTAGTCTCATCTTTGTTTAATAGCTTCTGATGATTTTATCTTCCAAGCATCAGTCCAGTTGCTCTCTGTGAGTCTCTACAGCCTCCCACAGCAGWGTGTTCCAAAGGATATGGGATATTYCCTTGAAGAGTGCTACTACTTTGGTGTAATTTCTGACCGATAAYATTTTCAGGCTCTTGGGTCCCTGTTTGATGACAAATCATGACAAATTTTTCCTTATTCCCATTTTCCAGGCCGTTCATGCTATTGCAAACCTCTCCTATCCATTTCCTCTTCAATTTCTAGGTTGAGAAATCCCATTCAGTCTTCATATAGAAGCTGCTCTGTTCTTTTAACTTCCTTTCTGCCCTTCTTTATTTAATTTGAAATGCTTCAGCTTGTTTTTTGAGATCAGAACAATCCCAAATRTTTCAAGATTGATGTGGCCAYGGGTTTAGGCAGGGAGATAATGATAGTTTTCATGGTGTTCATTTTGTAGTGGTTTGTCATCTTGAATGTTGTAAAGAATCGAGTCGTGTTTCCTCACCTGTCCTCCTGCCATGGGCTGTCACTTCACTTGTTCTTTGGGGTCCCCCTTTTCTGCCTGCATGCTCCCAGGCATCCTTCCTTATCARCAACAAGGGATCAGGAGGGACAGGAGTGCCTGSAGGAGACCCTGGACAGGCTGTGACWYCTCAGAGTCACCTGAATGACTTTGACGCAGAATTMCCTGTGATATGAGTGGGTCACCTGAGCAAATCTGAAAATCTCTCTGTAAATACTGTCACCTTGGGGACAAATCTCTACAAACACACTCAGATATAAGTGCTGAAGGTGGTGTCCAGGACATCCTCACACAGCTATGGGGATGTCTTAAGCGTGCTGATCCATGAAACTGCTCAATCAGCTAAAAGCTGTGACAATTTTCTTCTGGTCATACACTGGAGTAATGTCATTGCCTGCTTCCAGTGGAAGGCTTTTGCTGCTCAGGAAGTTGAGGCTCAACTGAAGCTGAGGTGAGTTTGAAAGGTGTATTTCAGTGAGATACCCTGCCCAAGGGTAAAATTAATGTATGGCTTCAGAAAATATTGGTGCTTTTAAACGGTTTAGGGCAAGTAAACCATCCCAGACATCAGGGTATGTGAAACAGGGGAATGGAGATCAGCAGTTCCCATTCCAGTTCCATTACACTCCAACTGAGGATGATGTTTTGGGGAAGGGTTGATTGCAGTAACTGGATTTCCTCAGAGAGCAAATTTGTGTTTGTGGAAGCCGCACACCACTGGAGTCCAGAGATCTCTGGGCTACAGAAGATCCGCAAGGCTGTGTCAACACTCCTTACCTGGCTCTGTCCTGAGCAGGAGGACTGAACACAGCTGCCACTGGCTCAGCTGTTGTGGTGCTCACTGCAGCTTTGACAAGATGTCAGGCTCCTTTCCAGTGCTCTGCAGGGCAGGGGCCTTCACTAGCCCAGATGGTGGAGGCCATCCTGCTACAGGATGTCAAACAGCCCTTCACTCTCCCCGTTTCAAGCACAATGAGGAATTTCTGCCCTTCCTTTAGAGACTGGGGAGTGTTTGGAGGTGGAGGGATTGGCAGGGAAGCAGGGGTTGCACAGGGCTTGGAAGTGCATTTGGCTTGGGCATTTTGGTCTTCATGGTGGTGAGAGATGGGGCTGTTTCTTCAAAGGGTGTGTTTGGGGAAGCTTTGAAATTCCCCCATTTCAGACAGTAGAGAAACACGTACAGCCCAGGGGGATGAATTGAAAATGACACTGAAAAGCTTGGGTGATTCAGGGAGTCCTTGTGTGACTTTTCAGACTTGGATGGATGYGGGTTCATAGGAGTTACTCTGAACCCAGAGCTGATCAGGAAACTGCCTCAAACTGCAGCACTTTTTAAGGGCTTCTGAGCAAATAAAGTTCAACGTAATTAGGTCAGAAATGCCTTGCAGGCTAAAACTAGTTTTCCACTGTTCTCTATTTAATTACACAGTGTCTGACTTCCATGTAAGCTCAGTGTGTTAAAAGAATATCTCACAACCTTCTCTGGATACTTCCCTGGACCATTCTTTTCCCATTCCTTCCCACCTGCCTGTCTCAGCCTGGACTCTGAGTGATCCTCTTTCCCCTCAGAAATAATCAGGTTTCCCCACAGCTAAGTTTGACCAGACTTTTTTCCCACCTTAACTTACTTTCATGCCAGTTTGTGTCCTAGACTTTGACCAGGATGTTCTTCCTTACTTACAGTCTTAGGGATGGTTGTAGCTCCAAGGCCACTGTCCTGCTGTCAGAGAGGCTTTTGAGATCTCAAAGCAGAAAGGACTTTCACGAGAGGAAGCAGTGCAGGATCCTGTACTGGGAGGGCACCCCAAAATGCCTGATCATGAGAAGGTCTGTGCAGGAGTTTGCTGTTCCTCCCTCGTGCAGGACTTTCTGGGATGTCATGGTGGAATTATTGTCTGTTGACGGTCGAGGGTCACTCATGCCAGTGGTGAGGACTCTCCCCATGCCTGGCAGTGTAGGTCAGCCATGGAGAGACATTTCCAATCACGCTCTGCAGGGAGCAGCCACAGCGAGTATTTTTGCTGCTGGTGACAGTGTTAGCCCGAGGCTCTGTCTGTGTGCAGCTGGTAATGTCCATGACTGTATTTCCTCTCTAATTGTATTTGAATTGGGCTGGGTGATGATCACTGTCCTGCTTGTGCTGCACTCCCTCGATTCACTCCATATGGAGTTTCCACTCGTCCCCCCAGTTGTCACCTGCTGGTTCTTCTTGGCCAGGGGACTGGAGCGTGAAGGGGGGACGGTGACCTGCCAGCTCAGAAGCAACTGTTTTGTAGCAGTGCTTGCTTCTCATCTCTTAGTTGTGATCTTTAAACACTAAAGTGATTTCTGCTGCAGCTACCAAGTAAAGGAGAGCTGGTGGAGGGCAGTGCAAGGAACAGGGCAGATGGAATTTGCTTATCCCTGCAGGTTCAAAAAGGAAGGAACAAAAAGTGATGCTGATAACTTGCAGCTGAAACTCAGCTTCTTCTTGCCTTCCCAAAGAAGTCCTGCAGTGGGTACTCCTTGATCTTTATCTGCCTCCCATGAGCAGCTCAGTGACAGGAAAAGCCCGGTGGTTGGTGGATTCTCCCTCAGTTGTGGCAGTGGCTTTGAGCCAGGAGGTTCTCTTGAGGGCTTCTGCCTTTCAAAACCTCTCTTGAGCTTGTAAGTGTGGAGTAAAACTACCAGTGAACAACAAGCGATCCTCTGATCCGTTTGGGACCCTGTGGCTCGGRCTCAGCCCCTTGCTGAGGAGCTGCTGCTGCTCTTCCACAAGTGCTTTGCTGCTCCTGCACTTCCACTTCTCTCTGCAAATGTGTGGCTTAYTRAACAACCTGCTGGGTTTGTCTCTCCTGTGGCTGCAGGYACTACCACAGGCTGAGTCGGCAGGAAAAGGACAAGTTGTATGGTTTTCTGAAGGGGAGCAGAGTGGACACCACTTGCAGAGAACGCTTTGCTCTGCTCTCCCGCACCCTGCGGAGAGAGAGGGCAAAGGTGAGAGAGGACCCCATGCTGTTCAACAGTGACATTTTCTTGMTTGAGCCGAAGGTAAGTGATAGCTGAGCACCTCCCTTCCTGCTTCTCCTCCTATTCCTCCCTGAATGAGGTCACTTGACAGATCCCTGCTCAGCTGGCTCTGTGTGCCGAGAGAGAAATGATTGGGATTCTGGTGAGGCCAGAGAGGTGGTTGAAAAATCATTTGTGCCCTGTGGGCTCCTGGCAGGGATGGGAGCCTGACAAAGCCGAGCTCTGCTGCAAGGGCTGACATCGAGGGCGCTCCGTGTGTGTCCTTGCAGTGTCCAGAGGGATCAATTATTGTAGGTAAGGACACATCTTACACATGGCATTTGGGGACTAACAGAGACTGCTGGAGCACTGTCAGGTCACATATTGACCTGAAGCATGTACTGGTTTTCTGTGGAAAGGAGGCCAAATTCTTCCTAAGGTTACTCATGGAAATGCCAATTCCTTCCTGTAACCTGGACTGAACTATGTCCGAGTCTCCTTTCCAGTGTCATTTGTGATCTTGGACACCAGGCTGGCAGGTTTAAATGGATTTTTCTATTGCACACAGGGACAGAAGATATTTTTTTCTGTTTATGCAAGCAAGCCACCACATCCTACAATGAGCCAGAGCCCAAATTCTGAGGATTTGCATGGTGTGAGATGAAGAATGCCTACTGTCTGTGCAGTACAAAATCCCTTTTCATCTTCGAGTAAACCCTAGAATAATCCCAACCTCTGCTTTCTTTTAAAAAAGGTTTAAACACTTTTTTGTTTCCGAGGAAGGGGATCATGTTCTCTTCTTGTTTACTCCTATAGCCTGTTGAAGGCCAAGAGCCACCAGTGTAAGAACAATGCAAGTTTCASACCACTGCTGCTAACAGAAGCATGATGTGACCAAAAGCTTGTGTCAGAGCAGTAGGAATATTGCAGAGAGGAGAGCTGCTCAGCTGAGCATTAAGAGCATCAGGTGGTGTGCTGAGCTGATTTTGGAGTGTTTCCCCAGGTTCCTGCTTTTCCCTACAGTGGGGCTATTTCTCCCCAACAAGCTTAACCTCCCCTATGCTCCTGAAGTGCACTAAGGTGAGCTCCACAAGCCTGGCTGCCCACAGTAAAGTCCTGRTACTCCATCTAATGATGGACAGACTTAAAGCATGGTCTGGCCTCAAATCTTGAGTGGAAACTCTTCCTAAATGGCTGGTTTAATGCTACATGGTTTGCTCTAGGATTGAATGTAAGTGGGCTACCATCTTCTCTTTTGTCCAGCATTATCAATCTTTTAATTTCCTTTAATGCCATTATTTMTGGAACAGTTGGCTTCACAGTTGGAGTTTTGGTCCTCTCTCCCCCTGCTCTGGCATATAGGTGTCTTTACATCAAGTGATAGTATTTTCTTTACCAAATGCAGAATCTAAGATTTCAATGCCACTGACTTCTACAACCTTCTCTCTGGTGATGGCTCTGTACCTTTCAGTTTGGACAGACACTCTCCTTGCACTGCCACRTCCATTGCCTGGAGAGGCCCCCAAAGCTGGGACCTTGCTGCCTCTGACCTTCTGTCCAGCAGTGGCTGCTCTCTTCTTCCTACCCATCACCCATGATAGGAGCACCCTATAGAAAATCAAAGCCTTGTGACAAGTAACTGGAGGAAATAATTGCTTCCAGAAATTCAGGAGCTGGTGGAGGGGTGGTAGTCTTGGAAAGGCTTTCTTGGCAGAGTGGGTTTGCAGGGCTTGTGCAGAAGCTTTGCTCTGTGGGCCATTAGCTGCCAGTATTTTCAGGTGTTGCTGTCTCTAGAAGCTGCAGCAGGTCACTGTAGTCTSTATAGGGTTAACTCACTGGCAAAAATTCTAACAAAAAGAGTAGGCAGGGATTTTTGGGATCGCCATGTGACCATGAACATTTTGAGCATCCATCCAAGCCTGTGGGAAACAAACTGTTATGCAACTCTGACTTGCCRAGCACATCTCAAATTGTGTTTTATTTTTGCAAATCCACATGATGGGTCAGCAGAAGCAGCTGTGCAAGAAGCCCAGGTGGCTACCAAAGGAGAAAGTCCTTGCTTTTTGCTGCATCCTCCCCACCACAGCTTAGCTGTAAATCACACTGCAGACACGTGGGAGCTGACTCCTTGGAAATAGAAACCAGAGGAAAGGGAGGACAAGGATTTGTTACCAAGGATTGCCCTGACCTTGACGAGTCATCACTCTCCTGTCATTGCCTGGTCGTGACTCCCCAGTGTCATGTGTTAACTCAGAAATGATGGAGGTGGTCTTCAAGATGGCTGGGTTAAGGGCCTGAGGCTGGCTCAGGAGACARCAGTGTTGTTTGTTCCTGCAAATCTCCACCTCAGCTGGGGAAACTGGTCCCCATCCAAAGGAGAGGTAACTGCTGAGCACTTCAGTGTCTGGCAGAAGGCACCATGTCCAGTGGGAGCTCTGGTCCATCCCACAGCTTGCGGTGGGTTCAGTTATTTATGGAAAGAGGCAGATGTTAGCTTTGGCACTGCCTTTCTCTSAATGCCCTGAACTAACAGGCTGCTCTTGGGTGCCATTTCAGTGCTTCTATTGCCAGCTCTGTCTTGTTTTTCTGTTTGCTCCGACAGTGATTTCCTTTCTGTGGATTGCCTTCCCCCTCTGCCAAACTGAGGAGGTAATTTGGCCAAACACTGGTGGTACCCAGCTTTTCAAAACAAGCTTTTTCTTATCTGAGCTTGTGGAAATCCAGCAGGTTCTCATCATTTAGGGGCTGAGGGAAGGGAAACGGGATCCACATGTATTTCTGGTCGCACAGAGATCACTTCTGTAGCTGTGAGTCACGGTGAGCTGGTGAGCTGACCCCTCCTGTATTGCATCACTGGATGCTGTAGCGAAACCAGGGAAAAACAGCTGGAGATTTTGTGCTGTCTCATCATCCATTGCACCATCTGTATTTCGGGCCACCTGTCTGTGGCAGCCTGGTGGAGGCTGACGTGGTGCCAGAAGCGGTGCACTGTCATGTTCATCAGCTCTGCATAGCTTTACTTCTGTCCTGGTTAGCATCCACAGCAGATTTCTGTGCTTTGGCTCAGTGGCCATCCCACAGAGAATGTGCCAGCCCAGGCTCTGAGGTGTCCTGAGGCTCATACACGTGTAGATGTAGTCTGCAAGGGAGGCTAATGAGACATATCCTTTGGACTAGTAGTTCTTTGTATCCTGTGGGGAGACAGGCATTGAGGAACCTCTTCAATAGCCTATTTTAATTTCCCAGGAGAAATATCTAACAACATTTTCTAGTTTTATAGTCTGACATACTGCAGTAATGAAAGGAGAAATGGCAAATTTTTCCAGAATAYGTTATATCTTCAAAGAATTTGGTTGAATAGTACAGAATAGTAGACTGTGTGTAACTGATTATTTTTTCTTACCCTCCACCTTTGGAGTCAAATGCCCTGGCTTACAGTTTCCCTGACACTACAGGGAAGCTCTCTGTGATGTATTGCTGAAAGTTTCCATCCAAATACACTGAATCCTGCAGAATGGTGATTTGATCTCAGGAGCTCAGGAATCTTGAGTTTGTAACCGGTTTTCTTGGAGCAAGGATATGAGTGCAGGGCTCCAGTGTCCACTGCTGCAGTTGGGACAGTTGCTGCAAGTCACTTTAGGGGCTCAGGCACGCAGTTGGTCTGTCTGGCTGCCAGGACTTAGTGGGGGAAGATGTGAGTTTGCCAGCCTAGTCCTGTTCACCCACCTCAGCTCAGTAGACAGTGACCAGAACAGGACAGATGATGTGGACACAGTTCACAGCATGACAGAGCTGTCACAAGCATCAAGCACAGGCTGGTTATCATTTCCCACCCTTGTCCCTGCCTTCTGGCCCTGCACCCCCTTCCCAGGTTCCCTGCCCTGCCAGGTCTGTCCCTTTCCTTGCCTCTTTGATATATTGCTATTCCTGTGCTCCCAAGCAGTGGGGTAAGATYCCTGTGTCAGTTATATTTCTGTCACAGATGTGCTGGCCTTGGCATTTGACAAATCCCAAAGTCAGCTAAACTCACTCAGCTAGAACAGAGYACTGTTGTTAGCAGATGCATATTCATCAGGCCAATGGTTCTTTTTAATTTTCTTCCTCTCCTGCTTAGCTTCATTTTTGCTTATGAATTGTATTACACTTGCTTCCATTAACAGGAGATGTATTGCCTCTGTCAGCCTCTGAGTAATAACCAAACTGCCCCAGTGTCCACAGGGCCAATAGATCTGATGGYAGCACATAAAACAGACCCAGTGAGTGCCATCAGCTTGAATCCAGTAGGAGGAACAGCCAAACAGCACTTTGTGAGATAGTTGACCTGAAGGACTGATAGTGCTGTGTTWAGCTCCAATAAGTTTTGCTTTCTGGCCTTGGTGGAAGGAGGGATGCTCTCTGAATTGCTCAGTAGTGACTTGGCTCTGAGACCTTGTTCTTGTTTCTTTGAACTTGGCTTCAGAGTAGCCAGTGTTGCACTAAAGGATGATGTAGTGTAAAATCTGAAAAAGCAGAGTCATGTTTTACACCAAGATCCCCAGGTCTTGCAAGAAGTAACACAGTCCCAGGAAACTGGATGCTCAGTTTATGGCAGGCACTGTCTGACAGCCAGCACAAACTCTGAGGTGCCTGTCCCTGGTAATCTATTGGTGCACAGCCCTCATAAGCCTTGACAGCAGGACTACAGTCACATCCTGGCATCAGTTTGCATCCTCAGCATYGCTGCTCCTGTCCTGTCTCATTCAAATACCTTCTCCCCAGTTTGCTGTCTGGCATGTGAGTCTCTACAGAGCAAATGGAGGCTTTTCCTTGGGCTGATCTGGGTGGCATTTCTAACACTTGGGCTCATTTCTTTCCTACTTGTTGCTCAACTCCCCTCGCTTTTACTCCAGCCATATGTTTGGGTTTTAAGGCTCAGGATGTGCTCTACTCCCCTGCTTTTCACCCCTCTAGAAGATGAAGACCTCCAGCATCATCATTGCCCCTGACATTTCGTTAATGGCCTTCCCCAGTGTATCAGCAGGGATTGTTTGCAGAGCTGATGGTGCTGGCAGGCCTGGCAAGGCACTGTGCAGGRGCTAAATGAGAGCTGGCTGCAGCTCTCGGGGCAGAGGCCACAGCAGCTGCAGYACCAAACCGTGCCATGGGCAGCTCAGCCCAGGCAGTGCCTTTAAGAAGTGCAGAACACCATGGAGATGAGGTGAGCTTTCAACTCCAGCTGTTGAGCTTGAAGCAAAGGCAAGCAGCTGCCTCGTGTATCCCTCTGCCCAGGGTGAGAGCACTGAATTCAGGCTGTTAAAAACACAGCGAGCAGCTGGGTGATGAGCAGYGGTGAGTTATTAGACTCTAATTAGCCAAGCCATGGAAATGATCATCCACGTGTTTCTTCTCAGTGCTGGGCTTAGGCTCCAGGTGTTGTAGCAGGGCTGTTTTTTTGGAGCAGCCCAGATGCTTTTTATCCCTGTCAATCCTAAATCACTCTCTGGGTGCTGGTGAGTCCATGGAGCATCTCAGTGGGACCTGAGGGGTCTGATGTCTCACATGCTGAGTGTGGGCTGCCAGCTGATGTTCCTCAAGCGAGCATGTTGTTGGATAGTAAGGCTTTATCTTCATCCAGTAGATGCTGGGTAGAAACATCTGATCTAGCAAATGTGTTTCCTCCAGGTTTTGAGTAAAATCCAAATGAATTAATTCTTTCAGACTTCCCTTTCCTTCTTATTGGTTTGTGGGTGTTTGAAACAGTTTTGGTTTTTTTTCTCCCTGTCCTTCATTCTGTTAACTCTAAGCAGGCTGTGCATTAGCAAATTGCTTGCAGCTGCACCCCACTGACTTCCTGGGGGTGCTGTAATTTTGAGATTTGAGTGCTAAGTCGATGGGCAGTATTATAGTTATTTAATATCTATGCTTCAGGAGAGCTGGAGGCTCCGGTCAGTKCAAGACTTTTGGACAGAGTAGTCAGGACACCCAGCAGCAAGCAGAATCAAAGCCTCACTTCACTGGTAGAAAAAGTAACTGTTGTTTTTGTCCCCTTCTGTAAGCTAAATTTTTCATTCCTTGTGAAATGTTATTACAGTTATCAGAGGTTCATGTATTTATGTTAACAAGTGCATTAAGAAACAGTTCTAATGCTGGAGTTTGAGAAAATTAAGTTTTGCTTTTTAAAAGCCAGTTGCAAGAATTGAGATCCTTTAGTGGAGATCCTCCAAAAATGCATGACAAGTCTCTGGACTGAGTACCAGTACCAGGACTCTTTGGGAGAGAAGTAGCAGMCAGTTACAGACACATTGGTAGCCTGGCCCAGACTTAAACCCCTGGTTTGGGTCTACTTCCAGATGCCAGTAAATGTAAGTGACTTAGATTTTTTGCAACTRCTTCCARATTCTCTTATCAGTTTTGTTGRTAAGTGTTGCTCACTCCTTGCTTGTCACTGATGCTCAAAATAAAGGCTTACAGGGCTGTGGTTGAAAACAAGAAATGTGATCTTTGAAGATAAATGTTTTGCTGTCTCCTTCTGCTTTAGGAGGGAGAGGTCAAGCAGAATTGTTCGGCTGAAATCAATGTGTTCTTTAAGCCCCAAGAAGCCCGAGTCTATCAGCAGACGGCTTACTGTGACATCTCAGGTACGGCTGCTTCCTGCCTCTCTCACCCCAGTGAAAGTGAGGTGCAAATGCTCTCCCAGGTCACTGGGCTCCTGKGTAATTGTTGGGAAGGGTCTGTGGTCACTGCAGCTTCCAGGGGATCTCCCATAGAAGCTGGAGACATCTGCCTCTAGATCACCCATCCCAGAACAATCCAGGCAGTGCAGGGRTAAGCTTTCATGCCATAGCTTTGCCAGCATTTCCTTAAAGGCCAAAGAGCTACAGAGCAGAACAGCTTTAGTGAATGAGCACTAAATCCTTCTAGACCAGTGACCTCCAGCATGGGTCCTTTTTACATAGATCCATCATCAGGCAGTAGGAGCCAAGTTAGAAATTCACTCCCTGACCCTTCATCTCCTCCCACTGTCCAGATGCTGCCAGACTGGAGGTGGCTGGGCCCTGCTGAGCCCAGAGTGTCTGCAGAAGGACCATCCCTGGCTAGCACCTGCTTCTCTCCCTGCATGAGAATTGTCACCTTGTGGTTCTCAGTCAGTGGTCCCTCCAGGTGGTGTTGTGCAGGCTTTACTCTGCTCAGCAGGACGAGCACCCTCCTAGGGAAAGAGAGTCCATGCAGTCTGCTRGACAAAGGTTATGCTTGTCCTGTCTTCCAGAAGTGCTGGGAGCAGTTCTGGGAGCAGTTGTCATTGCCCCACCTGAGTGACCCCATCTCAGAGGTGGTGGCTTTGCTGTGCTAGCACAGGGCAGGGAATGCTTGGAGTGCACAGTGTGGTTCGGGTTACCTTGTCCTTCCTCTCTGTCCCTGCATGGTGCTGCTTAAGGTATTTTCAGGAGTGAGAGCTGACTGCCAGGAGATTTTCATCCAGGGAATATTTTGGATTTGCCCATCTAAGAGGAAAAGGTGTGAGGCCCAAGGTCCTCCAGCAGCCAAGCTCCTATTCTGCAATCCCTAACCCAGCTGCTCCGTTCTTGCCTTCCTGCTCCAAGTGACAGATACAAATGTCACGAAACAGCTTCWTATTTACACAGTAATTGTGCAGGGTTTACTCAGTAAATGCCATCTACAATAATTACTCAGGGCTTGTGCTAACAAACTGTCTTGCTGCCCACCAGCTGYAATTGTTGGAGCCATGGAAGGAAAGGTTGGATTTAAAAAGTTGTTCCCAAGGGTTTCCTTTTTCAGGGCTGTGCTCTTGGCTCTTGGATTTTGGCTCTGGTGATGGGGTTGTCCAGCACTTTGCCGCAGGAATCTCCTGGGGTTGTGCCAGGACAGCTTTTTCATGACAGAGAAAGAGGAAAATTACTTGCATGCGAGCCTTGAGCTGGTCTGGGACTTAAAAGAACCCGAGCGAATTATGTGTGTTGAGAAAAAGGAGCCTGTTCCTGAATGACCCTGAGAGACCCTTGGGAGAGCTTAACTCTTTTATTGGCTCCTTGGAAGAGGATCTCAAGGAGTCATTTAAATGATGCATTTCCTTTCAGATCAGAGCTGATCCAGTGGATTGTCAGGGTGGGAATTGTCCCAGATTCAAGTCCCCTGGGTGCAAAAAGAATTGAAGAAAGAAAACAGCCATCTTTAACTGGGAAGTTGTATATTTTTGCTTCTTAATCCCTTCAAGAAATGAGATATTGTCTTCCTTAGGCATTTGTCTGCTAGTCCCAAATCCCTTAGGATGGGGATTTGCAGACATTGCGTGCCCCATGCTGGGGATATCTAGAAGCGTTTTCCCAGTGCAGTGAATTCYATGGCTGGATCTCCTGCCCCACCAGAAAGGGGCTTTGCTGGCCTGCACTTATGCCAAAGGTGCCTCCATAAATTGCTTGGCAGATACTTTTGGATCAGGTGATTTACAGAATTGATCGGTTCTGGGCAACTGGCAAAGCMAGCAGTGAAGAAGTGCTTGGAAATTTGCTCATAGCAAATATTGAAGCTGAGAATGAACTTTGTCAGGTGCTCAAAAATCCCAAATGATGATTACTCCTTTACGTTGTGATGCCCTACATCACATGAAACTGTGGATCTCTGTTTATTGATGTGGTCAGATGAGAATTTTGTGCAAAGCCAGTCACAAAACATGGGGAGATTCTGTCAACAAGATGGTGAAAAGCAGAGAAGTTGATCTTGTCTCAGAAAGCAGAGAAGCTGGAGAACTTTGGCAACAAAGTCCTGTGCTGTTGTGTCACCTACACCCTGATTTACTTGCAAGCCAGGCAGCAATGCCAAACTCTTTGTGAGCTTTGTGCCTTCACTGAATGGATTTCAAAACTCCTCTAAGTGCATGGGAAGGAAATTGGAGACAATTTTAAACTCAACATTGCTTTTCCACAGTGGAAAGTGGTAGCCAAATTGGAAACCATCCCAAGTGGTGCGTTAGAAATTGAAAGTCAGATCCAAGGCATATCTCCTGAGAGAAGAGGGGGTCCCTCACCACGCTTCAGCTGWGGCGTATCTCTGGCTCTAGAAAGAACAAAGCATTTCTGGAAAGGAAGCAAAGTAATTTTCTACTTATTAGTCTCCACCCCAATGGTGTAAAGTCTGCAAAAAAAGTAAGAGAGAGCAACCRAAAGAAAATGAAGCACTACATCATGCCAGACACTTTCAAAARCTTGTTTGTAGCAGGGAAGGACACACTGAGTGTTTTCTTACCAAAAGATTGTGCTCTCTAYGCAGCTTTGATGCTGATACCTTGTYGTTTCTCTCTATCAATTTATTATTTTCATTACATGAGGAAAGGTGAACAAGTGAATGATACTGTTAGGGCTGTGGTAAACAGCTAGGCTGCAGGTAAACCTCTGCTCTGGTTCCTCAAGTGAGGGGTTGTCCCAGCACATCTGAGCAGTGGGCTGGTGGGATAACGTGGGGTAGGCAGGAAAGGTGATGCTGGGTGCTCTGGAGGTTTGGAGCTGGCTGTGTCTGGGCTGCTGCTGTTGGGAGGTACTGGATCAGTAAAGAAATGAAAGGAATCTGCAGTAAAGAAATGAAAGGAATCTGCAGTCGATTTTACCAACAGGATAAGGGAAATGGATAAAAAATAACAAGAAGGTTATTCCTTTGCAAGAGAAGAGTGGTGAGTACGCCTGACCTCCATAAAGAAACAATTATGCTGGCTTTCTTGTTTGCAGAAAAGTGCTGCCTTTTTTTTTTCTTTTTCTTTTTTTTTTAATGAAGAGGGAACATTTCACAATCAAATAATTTATTCTTCTCTGTCCCTCCCCCAAACTGGTCACGGGATGTTATTGCATAAGCAGCTTTCTCCTTGAGCAAGGGCAGGTTTTGCTTTATCAAGATGTGTAGAGAAGAGCCAGTGGCAGYCCTGTGAATAAAATAGAAGGCACAGTTCACTGTGGTCCCTGATTTTTAACTAAAGGGCAGAGTGGGCATTGATTGGCATCAACCATGATATAAATCTGTGAGTCTTGTTCAGCTTCTCATGCTGATTTCAGTGCATGTTTGTGGCATTTGCAGTTTGGAACCTGTCTGCTAAATGTGAGGTGGTGTGGTGGATTAAGRACACCCATTTGGTTGTTTAAGGCATCACTCTTGGCTGTGACAGCTGGTGCACTGGTGACAAGCTGGTCCTTTCATCTGTCCTCTGTAGAACTGTTGCTGCAGTGGATGGTTGGGGCTTCCCTGGATTCTTGTCTCAAAAACCTGCCTGTAATGATTGTGTGTGTCAAGATTTCCAGAGAAAGATCCTCCATGGAAGCACCAGTTCCAGATAAGAAATACCAAAGCAGGGAATCTKTGGCTCGGAAGGCCAGTTACAGTAAGTCCACTTTTGTAGGGACACCTCTGTGTCCACCACATCACAGATGGGGAAACTGAGGCACAAAGACATCTTTAGGTGCGTGTCTAGGATCCTTTGTTGGTCCAGCAGCATCTTGGGGGCGTGTTCTGCCTGCTGTGGTGCCCTAAACCCCATCAGCTGCTGACCACTTTGCTTTGGCTGCCTCCTGTCCACATGGGTGCTGGGTTGATTTGAACACCCCAGCCCTGATGATACCCAAACACTTTGCAATTCCCTTTAACAAAGCYRCTGCCTTCCTGCCTTTGTCCTCGCAGGGGCTTTGTGATGCCACCGACTCTGCATTTCGATGTGTCCGCCCTCCGTTTCGGTGACGTCTCCTGTGGTGAGTGTGCCCTGGGTTTGCACCACAGTGTGAGAGGTTTGTGTGTTGCTGAAATGGAGCACTTGAACATGAGAGCATCCGTCACTCGTCTTCCTCCACAGCAGCCTCTTCAGGGCGTTAACTCCAGGGCTGCTGGTGCCTTGGGCAGCATTTTGCCATCGTGAGATCAAGCAGGACCAAAAGAATAAAACCCAGTATTTTCTGGTGTCCCTCACAGTCTTCTCTGCTCCAACTTCCTGATCCTTTCGAGGAGAATGACTGTGAAAGTACTTATCCCAGGAGGGCCCAGGGGATGCAGAAGAAGGGAGCTTAAGCCATTACCAATCTATAGCTGCATGGGGCATGTGTTCCTGTTGCAAGGCAAGGGCATCATTTACCCCACTGACATTTAGTTCGGGATATTAATTAGTGCAGAGAGGGCACCTCATTATTGCCGACCAGGTCAGATACCCTAGCAATATCTCTGCCTCAGGCACCTGTGTTTCCTGCATCAGCCCAGCTCCTCTTCCACTAAAACCCCAGCTCTGCTGAGAGACGGTGGCTGAGCATCCAGAGCATTGCCTTTGAAATGCAGATTCCAGTTCTCCATCTCAGGCTCACAAAAGGCTTTTTACTGAGATGATCTACAGTTTAAATGTGAAATCAATTGTGGATTGATTGAAGGGCCATTATCATTCTGCACCCAGGATGCCTCTGTGTTTTCATGCTGTTCCTGGACTTTTTAAGAAAACTCATTACCTTTCCTGAGCTGCTTCCTCCCTTCCCTGCATCACCRCTGAGCCACTTCTTGTTTCCTTTTGAATAAGTGAAACAATAAGAGAGGCACCAGGCAGGAATATGGTTCTATAATAGCAGATTCATTCTGCTTAATCTGATTTCATTCCTAAGGCCTCTTCAGCTGAAGGCAGCTGTTGTATCTTTGTGCTGCTGGCTGTTGTCTGCATCTGGTGACCTCGGTGGCATTTGGGATTGTGAGATCTGTGTCTGTCTTTTTTGTGCCCCTCCTGCCTCTCTGCTGCAGTCACTGCTGGAGCTGGCAGTGGTCACTGTTTAGGGGCACAGAGAAGCTCTGGGCTGTGCCTGCAGTTGATTCCTCCTCTTCATCTGTGTTTAAATGACTTATGTTTAAATCAGTCAGCCCTGGGAAATATCTCCTCCCCACAGAGCTGGCCAGCCAAGCCATATATCCATCCACAGCAGAGTAGGTTGGGGGCTGGTGTCCTGGCTCTGCAGGACATCCCCATCAGGTGTGGCTGCATCCCTGGCTCTCCTCTCTGGAAACCCAGTCTTGGAGCTGACACGGTGTGAGCCTTTGTGTGCAGCAATCACAGCCAGTGAGCAGCGTGGGTGTGGTGTCCCTGTTTGTCGGGTGAGGTGGTTCCTAATTGCTGATCTCGAAGCAAGGCTCAGGTTTTTCTCCAGTGGAGTGGGCTGTGAGCTGTCACGAGCTCAGTCTGGATGCCCCTCATCAGGAGATGCCTTAAGGATCCTGACTAGAGAAACTGCATTAGGTGCTTTGCATCATGTTCTAGTTTCTAATTCCATCGTCCCTTTATCTTACTTTAGCTTCTCCTCAATGACAAATCACTGGATTTATGTCTTGAAAACGGTGGGAGTGTTGGTGAAGTTAACAGGGCATTTTGCTGATTGAATTTTCTGAGAAAATGGTCAGTTTAGGTGCGCACTCATCAATGAGAAATAACTGGTTCTGATTTGAAGCAGGTGAGAGAGCTCCTCCCCATCAGAGAGAGAAATTTGTGGTGTTCAGCTGGGCTAAGAGTGGACATTTCCAAGGCAGCAGTCTGGGATCAGTGTCAAAGGGAACTGTAAATCCTCCTTCTGCTGCTTAATGAGCTGTAGTTCTGATAACGAAGAGCTAAAATCGAAGCATATTTCTATCCTACCAGGATATTCATATCAGGAATCATGAGATAATTGATGCCTAAATGGATATTTGTCATTTTCTTAGGTTTTCCTCGCACCTTGAAGTGCTGCCTGTCTAACACCAGCATGGCATCCGTGGGCTTCAACCTCCGTGTTCCTGGGGACGGCTTGGGAGAGCCCAGCGTTTGCAGCTCTGTTCAGATGTTCAAAACCGATCGCCAGGCTTGGAATAAGAGAGCTCAAGGTGTTATGAGGCCAAGKGAATTCACAATAAATCCCTGCACAGGGATTGTCCGTGCCCTGGGATCCCAGGATATCGAGGTATGGGAAGAGTCCGGCAGGTGAGGGTGAATCTTCACTGGAGAGTGGGAGGGCTTTGGCTCTGCTTTGAGCATCCTGTGAGTGAGAGCTCTGCACTGCTGAGAGGCCTCTGTTAGCTGGGTCACTCGGGATATTCCTGAAGGAGCACTGTTTTGTTTCCAAAACCATACACTGAAATCATGTACCAGATGGTCACGTACAGAAGCCATTCTTGTGTTTTTGAGAGTGATTTCTTTGATTGAAAGTGGGCAGAGGAAGGATGAGGACAGAAGGTGGCCATTAAAGAGAGAGATATCATGGTATAAAGCAGCTTGCTTTCCTTCCTGGTCTCATTTCTCCTCTCCTGGGGAGCAGAGTGAGTTGTATTCACTGCAGGGATCTTCAGTGGGGACAGAAAACACTCTGCAGCCATGAACTGCCCAGCATCTGCTGGGCCACACTTTGTCCTCCGTTTCCTGCTGTAAAGCTGAACTCATTCTGCTCAAGACAACAGATTTYTTCTGCATTTATGTCATTGTAGTCAGGTGAAAAATTGGTCCCTTAATTTGAATACGGTGGTGAGTAGAGCATTATTTTAGTGGTGGTGGGGGGGTGGCTTGCAAACAGGCTCGAGAGGAGATTTTTCTTCTCCATGTTGGCTGGGTTGAACTTCTGGAGCTGCTTAAAGCCAACCYTGACATTGTGGACTTGTTTGTGTTTGTGGATAAAGCATCAGGGTGTGTGGGACAGTCCAGGCTCATCCTCCTGGGCCAAAGAGGAGCAGGGGGAATTTTCCTCTTGCTGCTTTTCCAGTTGTTTGAGGGATAAACATAACCCCAAAGTGGGGGGTTGCCAGGGCAGCTTTCCCTGACTGCACAATGAAATTGTGTTTCCCCTCTCTGCAGGGAGCAGTGTCCCTGGGCTGGGTGGGCTGGCGTGTCAAGGGTAGGTTTTACGTGCTCATTCCAGCCCTGCCCTGCAGAGCTGTGTCCATGATGCTGTCCCGGTGTGAGGCTCCCTGCCCTGGGCATCTCCAGCTCTYACCCCATCCACAGAGGGARCTCCATGAGAAACCAGAGCATGAGAATGCTTAGCAAGGCCATGCTGTGCCCACAGGGCACATCTTGCAGGTTTTTTCTGCTTGCTGCTTTCCTGCCCTGCTGTAACCATGCAGAGCTGCCTTTTGCAAAGCAGAGGGCTCTGGGGCCCCTCTCTGCAGCTGATGGTCAGTGGGAAGTGAGGATTTGAGACCTTCAGGGGCTGTTGAGAAGCACTGACAGCCCCTTGGGAAAGAAGACTTTGGTGCTTTGGTGTTGGAGTTTTGCTCAGCTGGCTTTGCAGAGTTATTCTTCAGGCTCTCAGCAGTGTTCTCCAGCCGTGTGGCTGCTGGGGTGGGATTTGAGCAGCCCTGGCTTCCTCTGGCCTTGAGCCTTTGTGCAGACCCAGCTCAGCTGTCAGGAAGCCAGGAGAGAGTAAATAACTTCCCTTGGCAAGCACTCCAAAGAGAGACTGGAGGGGGAATAACCTTCTCCTGAGGAGGAGCATCCCTTGGGTTGAGCAAAACTGGGCTAATGACGTGAGTCTGTTAAAGGAGGRTAAAATATAGGTTGTATAAGCTCTTGGAGAGTTGCTGTTGCCAGACTCCAWAGCTTAGATTTAGGGAAATAAAGCCTTTWTGATTTTTATCCTCTCCTTAGTCCYCCTGTTTTCYTGTACCTCACAGCAGGGTGGCAAATGCTCATGCTGGAAGATTGAACCCAGTAAAGGAGTGATCCCCCCTAATTCTGAAGKGTCTGTGATTGTCACAGCATACCTGGATGACACAATTAAATTCYACGACAAGCTGAAGGTGTTCATTGAGARCAACCCTGTGAACATCATCTCTGTCCAGGCTGTGGGCACTGGCTCCACAATTGTCACCAACAAATCTTTTGCTCCACAGTTCAGGTTGGGACCTCACKTCAGGCAGGAGACTCTCAGTTCCTGCTTTTGCTGTGGGCTCAGCAAAGGGCAGTTTTGCTATAGTCCTTCAGACTAGATCTTCTTCAGTGCATGAGGTCCTGGCTATRTTCCCCTGAAGCCAGAGATTCCCTCTGAAACATGTGATGGTCATTTGAGAGCYGTTAGATACCCTCAAAGTCGCTGAAATGGAAACCAGTTGCTAAATTGTTACTGAATTGTCTCTAGCTCTGATACATTTATTTCCTCACTTTATCAAGTAACAAGTGGAGGAAAACAGCATTTCCCAGCAGTGTCTGGCTGGAAAATTCTACATTACCAGTATRACCATATTTCTCTTTGCAATAACATTGCTTGCTCTTCTGCTCCCTATGGAGTATCATCTCACAACAGTGCAAACCTTGGCAGTAGCTTCTTGGCATCACCTCGACTAAATGAATGGTGTTGTTTTATTTCCCCTCTGCCTGGGAGACTGGGAGGAGCAGAAGAATCTTTCTTTGCCCTGTATACTCCGTGGTTTGTTCTTGCCCAGCTGCCCTGCCAGGTTGTGTTTCATCAGCTCAGACCTGGTGGCTTTTTCCTTGTTTCTTCTGCCTGCTCCCTCACCATCTCTTCCAGAGCAGAAGCCCAAGCACAGACAAGCAGTGGTGGCAGCAGGACCAGCTCTGAAAGGGAGAGGAAAAGCCCACTGAGGCTGGGCAGGATGCATTGAGAGTGTTAACTGAGGTGAGTCCAAAGGRGGGGCTTCACAGATCCTATCACCTGTGACTGAAATCAGCCATGCTCTTGTAAAGGGAAAAAATAGCCTTTTCAAAGTGCTCTTTGCCTTCTGCTGGAGRGTTCTTGAAACAAGAATTATTTTCTCAAGGTGCCTGTTCTTCCTTCTGGCTGCAAAGAGGGTCACAGTGCTCCCAAGACCTAAACTTTTGGTAGAAAGAGTAGGTTAATCCTACTTTGAGCACTTAGGATAGATTTGAGGGTGTTTAAATGTATACCCACCAGCCATCCACATAAGCAGGGACACTGCAGGGAGGTGGATCCTAGTCCAATATGTCCTGTGCTCTGTGCAGCCACAAACTGGCTACACAGTAGAGCAGACAATGTCATTGTGCTTGGTCATCATGCCCTGCCCCCTCTCATCTGTGCCCATCAGCTCGGTTTGGGGTTGTTGCCAGGGCTGTCAGCTGCAGATCTGCTACTGCTGGGTGAGTTGAGACCCAGGGAACACTGGGTGTTCCCAGAGCCACAAATTCTGCCCCTATCCAGAGCTTCTCCAAGATTTCATCCATTGCTGTCTCCAACATAAACCATTTTATGCTAAGCTGGTAATATCAGCTATTAAAAGTCTGTTCCAGAGCAACTTTCTTCTATACCATCGTTTCTGCTGGCGGCAGACAGCCACATTTTCTTGCCTTTCAAAAAACCACTAACTGCTCCAGGAACAATTTGTTTCCTGGTCATGCTCAGATTTATTGAGAGTAAAATAACAGCTCCAGACTAGCCTGCAGTTAGGGTTTCTTTACATGAAGGAATCAATTTCCATTGAACATTCATTTGTTTTCTGTTTAGCTGGAGTTATTAATTTCTTGTTGTCACTCCATTCCTTCAGTAGCCAGACTGGTCTTGCTGCCATCTTCATTTTGGGGCAACTTCTCTTGACCCTGTGTTCTCAAAGTGCATTTCCCTTTCTAAAACACAAGTCCAGCTGCACACTGTTCTGGCAAAGGGTGGTGTGCTGGGAGTGATTAGGGTTGGATGCTCTTTAAGAGCTGGGGGSATGAGGTGATGCCATGGCAGGGGCYYCACCAGTGAGGTAAATGGTGCTCAGATCACCAGAGGAGTCTCTGCACCCTGCAACTCCTCAGTAGCACYCTCAGAGGAAGCCACCTGAGGCAGCAGCTCCCAAGAGAAAGGTGAAATGGCAGTGAAGCTGTTCCTCCCTCTGCCTGCAGCCAGGACAGGGCAACTCAGTGTCTGATAAGTGAGACCTGCAGGAAGCACCTTGGAAAAGGCCTCAGAGTGTTAAGCAGCACAGGCTGCTCTGAGATGAGACAGGAACTGAGAAGATGCCCTTCATGAGGCTCTTCCTGGCTGTATGCAAACAGAGCAGCTGCTGGGTGGTGATAAACTCTGAGGCAGCCAAGACCTGGCTGTAGCTGAAGCTTTGAGCTTGGGCAGCCTTTTGGGTGGAAGTTTTATTGCAGAGTGGGCAGTCAGGGAATGTCACCAGAGTGCTGAAGCAGAGTGACCACAGAGAAATAGCAGCTCCCATGACATTTTCTATCTCTGCWTCTCTTCCAGCTTCACTCACTGCCGTTACCRGTTCAAAGTGACAAACAAASGACGACGCATCCATCAGCTGTACTGGACCACAGAAGGTTTCAGMAKCTTTTGGYGGAATAATCATTCCTCTGCCCTCARTGTCACCAAGAAAAAAGCYGYTACYCAGATCCCCCGACCTGGCAGCCCCGTGTTTAAGCTGAGGCCAAYRCAGATGGGCCTGAAGCCTGGCCAGACTGTGGAGGTCGTGCTGGAAGGMTGCTCCAGCACTGCCCAGGTGAGGCCCTGCCAAGGGCTGACCYTTCCCTGTCAGATCCCCTCCACTGGGGCTKCTTCTGCAGCCCCTTGATGTTTGTCTGGGGAAAAGGAGCGAGTGACTTCAAGAAACTGTTTTAAGGCCACAAGTTTCCATGGCAGCATCAGTTGCTTTCCTTGCTGGCCACCATCAGTTGCTAAGGCTTTTTTGTGTTTCGATAGCCACCAAAACCCAGTGCTGATCCCAAAATACAGGCTGACGGAAGTACTGGTCCTTTGAGGCAAACAGGAGGTTACCAGCGTTGTGTGCTGAGGCAGAAAGGAAGGGCAGGGAAAATAAGTTAYGCTTAGACTAGAAGCCCAGGCAGGAAGTAAATTAAACAAATCCCAAATGCTTTATTCAGCAGAAGCAAGGAGTAAAACAAAAATCCTGTGAAGGGAAGGAGTGTCTGGGAGAAGCATCGTTTTTCCTCCACAAACAAACATGGGCAGAGGGCTGGTYTAGCCATGAGTCCTGGAGGGGGAAAAAGCAGTGTGCCAGCTTTAATGATCAATGTTGTCCATCCACATGGGAAGCTGTTCCCAGGGATCATTATAATTGACAACTTGACTTTTGTCAATATTTCCATAACAGCTCACCCCAGTCTCTCAGCCAGCCCTGGTGTCCCAAGGACAGACGGATTTTGCAGCATCCTTGGAGACCAGCTCTGAAAGAAGCTGGGTTGTGGTTTTGTATCAGAGGGAGGAGTGAGAAACAAAGGGAAGCATTTGGGGGAGCAAAACAATGGAAAAATCAGGAAAAGTCTTGACTATCCAGCTTATGCAGAGTGTTTTCCTGTGAACGGCAAGACATTCTCTGTTCCTGAGAAGGYTTCTTTTTAAACCAGCTCCAGAAGGCCACAGGGCATCCATGGAACCAGTGATCCCTTCCTGACCTGAAGGCAGGTTGGTTATTTGGGTTTTTTGCATGGATTCTTTCACCTCCACTTCCAAGAGAGGGTTTGCTGGCACTGACCCTTGTATCACCCAWTTCCCATAATATATGGAYTTTTTCTTTTTTCTTTTTGTTTTTAATTGGTGTCTACAAATTTCTGTAAGTGTTATGCTTACAAGATCACCTCATTTTACAGAAATGAGGAAATCGTGACTGCTAACTTGATGACACAGAAACTGCTTCATCTAAGCCTTTGTCCTTGGAAAGCCCCAGCTCAGCTGTTGCACATCTCAAATACTTCCAGTTGGCTACCTAATGTTGCCCTGTCTTCATAGTCATTTAGACAGGCTAAACTATCATCCTCATTTTTCTGCTTTGCTCTAACAGCAGCTACTGTCTCCCAGATCATCTCATGCCAAGCACTCTGCCTAAGGGAACTGAAAGCATTAGAGTGAACAAGAAGTCTGTCTCTTCCCAGAGGAGAAGCAGCTGTCAGCAAGGTTCCCCCAATATTATCACAGGGTCAGTTACTGTGTCTGGATGTCAAGAGAGGGAAGCCTTGAAAGTGCACTGATGGTTCTGCACTTTTTGTGGAGTGAAGGTCACTGTAGCAAAGGCATGGGAGAAGCCAGGCATGCAAATCCAAGGGGGATCCATGCTGAAAATGTTACTGGCATATCTGACAGGCTTATATCCGCTTTGGGTATTGAAAGATGTGAAATGCATCGGAAAGGCAAGGAGGGTGTAAACCCCATACCAATTCCCCTGGGAAGGAAAGCTAATTTCTCAGACTTCTGTGGCCTGAGCTAAAGGCCATCTTGGTGAAGGGAGTTTTGGCCTGTTAAACCATACTCACCTTCACAGAGCAGCTCTTTGGTGTTTGACAGAGATCAGCAGGTTCTGTGGTTTTAGGAATGGCTGCAGCTGGTGATGGGAACACTCATCTGAACATCCCTGGAAGCAGAGTCATGCAGGGCWGGGATGTGCTTCCCAAGCCCAAGAGCAATCCTGCAGCCATGCTGGGGCACATCTATAAACACATTGCTGACAGTYCCTCCTGCTGTGACCTCTCTWTAGAGCACGGAAGTCTGGGCTGGGMACTTTTCATGACAGAAGCRAATGGTTTTTCCATAATGCCCCAGGAAACCAAGCCAAGTTAACCAGTGGGCATTAAAGTRCTGCTGTTACGAAGAAGAGAGCTCAACCAGACAGAGTTTTATTCAGAAGACACAKCTTCTTGGGAGCTGTAAATCAGCTATGGCTCTGAAGAGGGCATAGGGGAGAAGCCCTGGGTAGTGGGGCAGCTCGTTTCCAACTGGGTCTTATTGAATCCCAACAAGTTTTTTTGTGCAGCCCTTCTTGATGCACAGCACCTTCATGAGCAGACCCTGGAATGCAGAGGAATGTCAGCAAAAGCAAGTGGAAGGAGGTGGAGAAGAAGAAGCAGGGCTGTTAGCTCTGCTTGGAGGCCCCTGTTATCATCTGCCAAATTAAATTAGGGTTCAATTACAAGCTAAAGGGGAAATCTAATTTTGATGCTAGAACAATGCATATATTTTATAATAACAGAGAAACAAGCACATTCCAGTGAAGTCCGCGAGGAWTTAATTTCCTCTGGGGCCACTTGYTGGCTGCTTGCCTGTTTCTCTTTACTCCCATTTTTTAGAACCAATTCTGGTTTTTGGAAATGGGAATGCTGAATCAGTGTTCAGCTTTTAATCACCCCATCTCCCCCTCAATTGGCTTTGCTGGACATGAGCCTGGAGGCACTTGCTCCTCTTGATGCTGAGTCACCTGAGGCTGCTCAGTTGGTGGCAGCTGAGGGTCCCAAGCATCTGRCAGGAGAGCAGCCTCTGCTCCAAAGGCTTTGGCATAGCCCYGYTGCTGGCTCYTTCCTGCTCTGGATGCTCTGACAGCTCCCTGTTCTGCTCTGCATGTTAATTAAGCAGTAATGGATCTTCTCTGGGTCCCTCAGCAGCCACCATGTGATTCTGCATGGCAGAGCTGCAAATGAAGATGGTCTCTGAGCTATTAACACCTCAAATTGCTCATCAAGAGCCTGGCAGAAGGGCAGCATGTCAGATATTATTTCTGATCCACATTAAGCACTGTTGGTATTTTAAGTGATCAGAATAAACTAATTCAGTCTGATACCAAGGGAATCAAATATCAAGATTCAGGAAGATGAGATGAGTAGAATTTAAGCATCCATACATCTAACCTTTCTCTGCAGCCTGTGTGCAGAGCCTCCCAGCATCCATCTAACACACACATTTATGTTGTCCATGAGACAAAAATCTTCTTCTACCTGGGCAACACTCTTATGTGCCTAGATATTTTTTCTTCCAACTGTTCAAGCCATTTCTTCCTCCTCACTCTCYAGTCCCTGCTCTGCTTTGATCAGAGCAATAGTAGAAGCAGACAGTCCAGTTGTGGCTGTGGGGTTGGACATGCCCAACCCAAGCCAATCCATTCCCCTTCTCTGACACTGTGGAGCCATGAATCTCCMGTGGTTGCTCTTTGTCTACACTTACAGGGTTAGAGACAGACTGAAAACAGGCTCTCTTCACCCCCTGGATCTTTGATAGCTCAAAGCTTAGTTAAGCCTTTGCACCAAGAGGTTTTCTGTAGCATTGAACTAGATCTCCAGAATCTCCCCACGGGTGATAATAAACCTGGAGTCCAATTCAAATGTTTCATCCTATTTTTTACCTTCAAGGTTTCTTCTTGAAAGACTAATTTGTCCCCTTTCTAAGGSCAGTAACCAGCTCCTCAGCTTCCTTTGGGTATCCCCTCAAAAGTAAGACATTCAATACAAAGGATATATAAGGATATTCTTAGAGACATGTGACAGAGGCTGCCAAAGGCTCATTCTCAAATGTAGCTGTTCTCTAGAGCTTTCATCCTTTATTCAGGACCTATGCCTTGTCATTTGTATTGATCACTGCGGTCCCTGCATCACCTCATTGTCCCCTCTGTGTGAGCCGTGTTCCCTCCCTGGGACAGAGCWAACAGGCACAGAGCAGTCTGTGTGCCAGGATGGATCAGCAGGGAGCTCTGCACCTCCGTGGCACATGTCAAACCACCTTTGTGTGATGATCTGACATCTCTGGACAGTAGGAACTTCTTGGGTACAGTTCCAGAGTAATGAATTGCCAGAAGATTCTTTGGGGAAAGGATTTGTTGAGCTAAACATGYAGGAAATTATTCTTTCCATTCAGGATTTTCTTGGCCAATTGTTTTGTACAGGAGTGTTTCTCCTCCCAAGTGGGTCTTCCTAAAGCATTAGTGATTTCTTCTGTCTCTGTCCTCTCTCATTCCATGTTCCCAGGCAGTTTTAGCTGCAGGGAGCCTGCAAGCCAGATCCTCTAGCCTTGGTGCTGACCAAAAAAAAACCCCAATTTTGTGTTAGAGTTGATGGGGTTTTGCTTTGTTGTTTTTCTAACAAGGAAGAAATGGAAAATGCAGACAGTGAAAAAGAGTGTGAGGCAGAAATCTGACAGCAACGCTCTGTCAGCCACTGGCAGGGAGAGGCAGGAACATTGGGAACATCCATCAGAAATGCATTTATCCCCATGCCACTGGTGCTGAGTAGTCTCAGATGAGTGACAGTAGTGCATACCCCCTTCTTGCCCCCTGGTGCTCTCAGCTCCTTAGGGCCYTATGTTTAGGGCTTTGGTAGCCCCATAGGTGCTATTTCCCTGCTTCAATCCCCTGCTAACCTAGAAAAGGAGGGCTGAGTTGTGAGGGGAAGGTGCTGCTGGATGCATCTTTCAGCTGCAGAAAGTTTGGCATCAGCAGAGCTGGGTGTAACTAAAAAGTGGTTACTTATTTCTCAGAGTTGGAGGCTCTTAGAAAAAGTGCTGGGTGCTGAGCAGGGCTCACTTCTGGGGTGGCCATGGACAGTTTACAGAGTGTCTCTCCACTCATAGGCAGAGTCACTGGGGAGCTGAAGCAAGGGAGACTTGGAAATTTGCTACTTCAGACAGAATAAAAAGTAAATAAGGGGATTGCCAAGGAGTCATTCCTCAGGGGACTGGGAAGCAGCCTCAGGGTTTTGGAGGGGTGAACTGAGGGTAAGGGAGGCGAAGGAGAAGGCATTGCCTGAGGGAAAAGCACTGCACATCCCAAGGGCTGTTAGGTGGTTGACTGTCTCCCTGCCTTTGTACTGTGCCATCAGGACCAAGCCTGGGAGACGTTCATGTGTCATCCATGCCTGGATCAGGCTGGAGGGGGGTTGGGTGGGGGTTGCCTTCTGATTTTTAGAGCCAGTCAGCAAACACTGGCTGGAAGGTGACTTCTTCTTGCTCTGCCAGCACAGTTCAGCTGCAAATCTGGGGAGTAGCCAGATTCTGCTCTTGCTTTCTGCACATCTTCATTAGCCAAGGCTCACAGTGGGGGCCCAGGGTACATGGCTCTGCAAAGGGCATCCCTCTCCCTATCCAAGCCATTCTGCCAGTACTGCCTGAATGGCTGCTGTGTGGATTTTCTCTGAGGTGCAGGAGGCTCAAAGCCTGTTTCTACAGAGCTTTAATGTTTATGAAACAAGASCTTGATGTTTCTTTTTGGTTTGTCGTTGGGAACAGCCRTCACTGCATGTGGCAGTAATAGGKAAGGTGACATAATCACCCAGACCTYATTTTTCTCAATTTCTCCATCTTTTCTCACCCTGCTTCCTGTGAGCTGTGCATCAAACAGCTTTCCCAAGAGAAAATCCATCTGAACCCCTGGCACTGCTTTGTCTATAAGTGCTGTTTCTTGTATGGCTGTGCTCTTTCCTGGCGCCTCGCTGTCTTAAGAGGATAGCTGAGAAATCTTTAAACTCTTAGAAGAAGATGCTTAAGTCCCTTGTAGTAAATTTGATTCCAGGTGCCAAAATTTTACATGTTTTTTGGTGTAAGTGCACTGGGGATTTTTGTGCTCTTTCCTACTCCAAGGTGCTTCCTAGACAGGGAGTACAACCTAAAACTAAATCTTATGATGGGAAGTGTTATCCAGATACTTAAACTCTGACAGACTGCTGTTCATTGTCTTTGCCTACTCAGAGAACCAGTAGCAGTTCCATTAAGGTGTGATGATTTTGGGATGTTAGTGATGTGTCACCATTCATCTGTACCCCTGGCTGGGACAGGGAGGCAGCCAGGAGAGGGGAGGACTTCAGGTTCCAGGGGGAGTGAATGGCATTCACAAAGAGCAGAGCAGCCCACCCCAGAATTAGTGATGTGGGATGCCCTGTGAAGGATTGATTTACTCTCTWCTGTGTGTTTCATGTAGCAGAGGGAGGTAGGAGTTCCAGAGGGTCGGGCACCCCAGGGGCYCTCTGGGCCCAGCTGCCATGCCATGCATTTTCAGCAGTGCCTGACTCCAAGCTGCCTTTTCAGTGTCTCTGCCCTCAGGAGAGTCATCCTTCTCCTCCACAGGAAACCTTTCCAGCTGGGAGCTTGCTTTGTGTGTTCTCTCTCACTGGGAACTGTCACCTCTCGCCTGCCTGCTGGCCACTGTCACCACCCACTTGTCCCCAGCTGTCRCTAGTGTCACTTGGACCAGGTCAATCCTGTCTCGTCATCCCTTGTCCCATCTCTGAGGAACCATTGGACTGTGAGCACATGTCCTGGGAGTATATCTGCCTCACTCTAGGTAAAGCAGGGAGGAATTCYGATGTGAGTGACCTTTAATAGTAAATGAGCAGCAGTGTTAACTTGGCTTTTACATGGGGTAAAAGCTCCTCACATCCTTAATCTGTTTTCTGCTAGGATGAGGATCCTTGCTCTTTCAGGGCAGGATATGGATGGCGATGCCAGCRTGTTCAGCAGGGTGGAGCTTCACTGTCTGATTTATTTTGGGATTCAACCCTAGGAAGTATATTAAGCTGGAGCGTTTTTT